TTTCCAAGACGAAATTATGATAGAATCCTAGACACCAAATACCTTATTCAAATAAAATTAATACAGTTGATATAGAAGAGATCGAAGACAACAAAATCATATCAATCGATAAGAAAGATTATAAATTATTAAATATTGATATAAATAACGTAGAAAACGAAGTACAAAATGTCAAAGATGACGCATACATGGTGAACATCAAAATAAATAACATCTTGGGTAGGGCACGAAATTCACAATTCTACCAAAGTATATGATTGAGAAAGTAGGCATAAAAAACATTACGAAGTCCAACATTCAGTTATCTGGTTACGACGGCCACGACTAAATGTAGAATACGAAGGAAGTTCTCAAATTTTAGATGCATTGATAGTAAACAGTAACAAGATGCCTTTATTAGGAAGATCTTGGTTGATTTTAAAAACATACTTGAAAAATTCATAGGCTTAATTAACACGGATTATAAAGATGATTTGGCGGAATTAATATCCAATTGTAAGTCTAAATTAAATAATAAACCTGTCATAAAAACGCAATTCAGAATACGACTAAAGTCAAATGCTAAGCCAAAAATTATACCACCGAGAAGGATACCTTATTCTAGAGTAGATATTATAACTAAAGAATTAAATACCTGGCTGGAAAACAAGATCATCGAGCAGGTAAAAGACGTTAGATGGGCGAGTCCATTCACACCAGTTTTTAAAAACAATGGGAGTCTCAGATTGTGCGCCGACTTTAAAGATACAGTTAACCCAGCGCTTGAAGATTTCAAATACCCTATACCTAGAATTAACGATTTGATTGCCAAGTTAGCTGGAGGAAAAAATTTTAGTAAAATTGATTTCAAACAAGACTTCCTGCAAATTCCTATTCACAAAGACTCTAGAGATTTGCTAACTATATCCACGCATAAAGGATACTTCAGATTCATGAGACTTCCGTTCGGACTGAAAACATCTTCAGCCATATTCCAACAGACTATGGAACATATTTTCGGAGATTTAAAAGATGTTATATTCTACATTGACGGCTTGTTAATTACAAGTGATAACGATGAGATACATTTGTAGAACATTAAAAAAGTATTCGAAAAGATCATCAAGTATGGATTAACCCTCAATTTCGACAAAAGTTTATTCCTGCAAGATAAAATACGCTTTTTGGGACATGATATAGACAAACATGGTATACATCCCAACGATGATAAAATAAATGCAATTATGGATATGCCGGAACCAAAAAATTCAGAAGAATTATCTACCTTCTTAGGCATGGCGAGCTATTACCGTAAATTTTTAAACAGTTTTGCGGACCTGGCAGATCCACTATATAAAATAATCAACAAAGATAAATGGTCTTGGGATACCGAACATCAAGAATTCTATAAAGGATTAAAAATTTTAATCAGTCAACCTCCCACATTGAACTTTTTCAATCCTGATTTACCCATAGGTACAGCCGCGGATGCATCTAAACGCGGTTTGGGAGCTATTTTATTTCACTTAGAAGGGGACGGCAAAGAAAAGCCGATAGCTTTTTCCTCAAGATACTTAATTAAATCCGAAGAAATTACACTAACATTGAACGCGAAGCGTTGTCGATTATTTTTGCAATGAAAAGATTTCAAGAATATCTTATCGGAACTAAATTTACAATCATCACCGATCACAATCCGTTGATTTATATATTTTCCAAAGGTTTAAAAGAAAATTCACCTATCTCGAGGTTGCAAAAGTGGAATATTGCAATGGGAGCTTACGATTTCGAAATACGACATAGAGAAGGTAAACACAACATGATGCCAGATTGTTTGTCCAGATTGCCATTAACACCTTCAGAAGAAGAAATACACATTATGGATGATATAAAAGAAAATAATGATTTATGGGACGTACCAATTAACTTAAAAATGATCGAAAAAGAAACTTCTAACGACAGAGAATAATGGAAATAATGAACGACATTAGAAACGGTGACACGATAAAAATAAAACATATAACAATATGTTGACAGAATTATGTATTATTGGAAATTGTCTATTTAAAGAAAATAAAATCATCGTACCTAAAGTTTTAAGAAAATCAATATTACAATATTTACACGAAGGGCACTTGGGTGCTGAAAACCAAACATTTAGCTAAAGAATACCTTTGGTGGCCTGGAATTAGTAATGATATTGATAACGAAGTAAAAGAATGCAAATCATTTGGGTCGATAATCCCATTAATACACAGCATCCTTGGATGTTAACAACGAAGCCATTCGAAAGAATACGCATTGATTACGCTGGGCCATTTTTTAACAAATACTGTTTGCTTATAGTAGATGCGTACAGTAAGTTTCCTATAATCACGCCGGTAAAATCAATAACTTCGGAATTTACAATAAAAGAATTGATGAAAACAATTAGCTTATTAGGTATTCCAGAACAAATAGTATCTCATAATGGCTCAAACTTTACAAGTCAACTGTTCAAAAAATTTTGTAGAGACCATGATATACATCACTTCCAGACTTCAGCTCACCATTAACAGTCAAACGGGCAAGTTGAAAGGATGGTCCTTTAAATCACATATAAAGAAGTGAATGGAACAAAATAACATGGACATGGATATCGCTTTGGAGAAATTTTTGTTCAATTACAGAAACACGCCAAACAGTACGACTGGCATCCCACCAAGAAAACTCATGTTCAATCATGATATGAGAACAAATTGTGATTTATTAAAATATAAGAAAGACGACGACAACACTTCGTTCACAGTTTTACCAAAAAATAGAACGATTAATATTGGAGAAAAAATTTGGTATAGAAATTTTGGAGTAAACAAGTGGGATGAAGGCGTTATAATAAAAAAAGAAAGTAACATGTTATTTCAAATTCAAACGAAAAATGGTATATTAAGGAGGCACTTAGACCAACTTAAGAAAAGATTTACCACTGACGAAGTATTAATTCATGACCCAAATACTTTACCAACGATTACATATTACAAGGAGAGAAATGCTACTCAATAGGATAAAGATTGTACATACGACATTACGAGACCTAGCCGGAATAGAACATTACCCGCACGATATCAAGATTATATTTTGAACATAAAATATTCACATACAAGAAGAATTTGAGCGGAGTTTGTTTCTTAAGGGGTGAAATGTTGTGATGTACAAATTGATCTATTAATTTATGGCGATCTATTAAATAAATTATTGATTTTTTTTATTCTTTATATTATATTAACTTTAACCTCGCGGACTCGTTTTATAAAATTAACTCAATAATTCGACATAAATTACTTGAGAGATTTTGTAAACTATATAAACTTAGAAAATTATTGTACTTATCAGTTTTAAATATATTTTTAAATAAAATTATTAAATAAAATTAAGTATCTGTTTTTCTTTTTTTTTGCCAACCTTTCCCACATTGAATTTTTTCAATCCTGATTTACCCATAGGTATAGCCGCGGATGCATCTAAACGCGGTTTGGGAGCTATTTTATTTCACTTAGAAGGTGACGGCAAAAAAAAGCCGATAGCATTTGCCTCAAGATCCTTACTTAAATCAAAAAGAAACTTCTAACGACAATGAATTAATGGAAATAATGAACGACATTAGAAACGGTGACACGATAAAAAATAAAACATATAACAATATGTTGACGGAATTATGTATTATGGGAAATTGTCCATTTAAAGATAAAATTATCGTACCTTAAGTTTTAAGAAAATCAATGCTACAACATTTACACGAAGGACACTTGGGTGCTTTCAAAACCAAACATTTAGCTAAAAAATACCTTTGGTGGCCTGGAATTAACACTGATATTGATAACGAAGTAAAAGAATGCAAATCATGTAACATTTGGGCCGATAATCCCATTAACACCCTTGGATGTTAACCACGAAGCCATTCAAAAGAATACACATTGATTACGCTGGGCCATTTTTTTAACAAGTACTGGTTGTTTATAGTAGATGCATACAGCAAGTTTCCTATAATCACGCCAGTGAAATCAATAACCTCCGAATTTACAATAAAAGAATTGATGAAAACAATTAGCTTATTTGGTATTCCAGAACAAATAGTTTCTGCCCCCTGCCAACCTTAACACATACCAATGAAAAAATTAAAATTTTATGTAATAACTATAATGACCAATATGAAAGTTCTACTAAAGGAGTTGATGTAACACAATTCAAGACATTATTGGGAAATCTTTATTTAGCTGGAATTTTAAAATCTAACCATAAAAAGAACAAAATATTTTTTTTCAAATATGTAAAATAAATTTATGTTTTGAACACATTAATGTTTTATGTAATAAATGTTTTGCATGTCAAATTTAAATATTTCAATGTTCTATATTTTTTTTTGATTGTATTAGTGTAATTTTTTTTTTATATTGTAGAATAAAGAAAAGATCCTTATTATGAATTATCATGATTATATGATAGATAAGTTATTTTTTTAATTTAATTTGAAATTTAAAATAAATAAGCTTTTTTTAGAAAATTTTGGCACAAATTATAATTATCCTCATATCTTTAATCTAAGCTTAAGATATAAAAATAAATAAATATTTTATCAAGTTGGTTAGTTCTATCTTATATCCAAATATTAAATAAAAATAATGAATATAACTGAAGATATATACATTTGAAATTAGGGTCTATTAAACCCCACCCAAGTACAAACGTCATTTTTTTCACTGGAGTATTGAAGGGTAAAAAAAAATATGTTTCCTATTTCATATTAAATGGTTAATTTTTTGATTTATTTTAAAGTCAATCACATATTTACTAATTTATAAATTTTATTTAAAGTAAAAGTCATGATTAGTTTTTATTGTAAATTCATATATTTTTAATTATTATAAAGGTAATAACTTATTTTCAATGTATCTTCAATGTCAGTTTTTTAAAAATTGTTACATTTTATTACAAATTAAAACTTGCCTTTTTTTAAAAAAAACTAGGCATAATAAAAATAAATCTTAATAAATATATACACAGCATTTAAAATAGTTTATAAACATGAAAATAAAATGATATAATAATTGATTATTGTTAACTCTTTTATTATAAATAAAAAATTATTTATATGTTAATACCAATATATATAAATGAATCCATATTATTTACATATTTAAATTTTATAACAACATTTATTTAATACATCTTTTAAAATATACATTTCCAATATACCCACCCCTCATAGATCTATAAACATTTTGTTCAAAGAGCCGTTTGTTATTTTTTAACTCTTCGGCAGCTTCTTTATTCAAGGGATCCTCTGCATTTGGCTCCAATAAAAGATAATGAAGTCCATATATTAATGAATTTATTGTTAAAACAGGTTTCCAATCTTCCCTTAATATGTTAAGGCATATATTACCTTCTAAATCAATATTGGGATGATAAACCATTGTCTCACATTTAACTTTAGGTGGTTCGTGTGGATAGCCTTGACTGACTTTAAAATTGAATAAAAATTGGCCAGCACAATAAAACCCTTCATCTGGGCATAAAATTATTTTAAAATTTAAGAGATCATCTGGATCAGGAAATTCAATTTCACAATTTGGTGGAAGATTTAATTCATTTATATCTTTTTGAATCCGTAATTGGGCGGCTGAAGATTTTTTACTAGATTGTGAATTGTTGTCTTTAGAATTATCGTTGTCATCTTTTTTCTGTTGTTTTAAAGAAAATAATTTGATCATACCCTAAAATAAAAATTGAATATACCGTGCCTAGCCTAACATAAATTAAGGTAACATAGCAAGTCACATGTGATTGACAACGGTTAATTACAGGGTTTTCCGTTATTTTCGAGTAGAAACTAACATTATGAGAACAAAAATTATGTAAATAACACTACATTTTAATTCGTCTAGCTAATCCGGATCCTATGCATAAAATAAGGCACAAATCGCACGCTACTTTGCAAACCCCCATCGTCAGCATTACAGAGGATAGGGATAAACCTCTAGTTGGCAACTCCGTTGCATACCTGAAATCGTAGAGCCAACCCAAGGACCATTCTCCACCTTCCGAAGATAGTCGATGATCGAGGCTTTCCCATCGCGAGACTTTGACCTGCTTCAAAGCAATGATGAACTACGTCACGCCATTGCGATATGGGAATGCATTATCACTGTATCCTCTGTCAAACGTCGATCAACTCCAAGGGCCGTCACTCTCTACACTGCAAGCGCTGTAGAGGTAGATTCATTAGGCATTCAAAATGCAATGATACCATTGCCAGGACCTTAAAATCCGAAGGCATCCTAACAAACCTCGAACCTACTGGCATTTACAATTCCGATGGTAAGCCGCACGATGGTTTGACTATAATCTCTTGGAAGAGGGGGGAATTCCTGGAATTTCTCATGCATTGATCCTCTTGCTCCTTCTAATATAAATAGAGATGCCATATTGGATACCTGGCGAATAAACTAGTTAAATATTCGCTATCGCTTCTCGCCAATTATGCATTCCTACCATTAATCGCCACGACTCTAACGTCGTTCGGCTCTCATGCTCTGGTTTTCTTTAAAGAGCTCGGTAAACGGATCTCTGCTAGGACCGAGGATCCTAACGAGGGATTCTACCTACGCCAAAGATTAGCCATAAACATAATAAAATACAACTATCTCAGCTTTATTCTTTCAATATCTGAAACCCCCTAATTGAACATCCTATGCATATGGTAGACTTTGGCTATTTTGCTCCAATAATAATGCTAACGCTAAAAGGGAACTTGACTCTCAATCAATAAAAGATAGCAAGAATTAATGACTTTATAATTGTGAATATAATATTTTTTTTCCAATAATTGTGTGTAATTTTAAATTTCTTATTTGTATAAATAATTTTATATTACAATAATAAAATATAATATTTAAATTTTTTAAAAAAAGTGTTAATATTCCAAAATATGTTCTGATATATTAAAAAATATATATCTCTTTTAAATTTGAATTATGATCTAGCTAATGTCACACAAAACATATAATAATTCCGATTATAATAAAGTTTGGAATCCCTTACTGGCCTCGTCCTAAATATATTTAGTGTGAAGTGAAATACTATCAATTTCTCAACTTCCTATTGACTTTTCATTTCAATCCATCACTCAGTAAAATTTGTTTCATCTATGTTCATTAATTGGGAGGATAATTAGTTCTATAACTTTTATTAAGAATTTTTATTATTCCTAAAGGAGGCAACTCCCCTCTTACAATCTTTCTCACCCCTAATCACGTATTTTCCTTAATCAAAACTTTAATTCCTTAAGTCTTTTTGTCATATCTGGCTTACTTAACTGATGGTATTCTGAACGTACTCGATGAGGATATTAAATCCCAAATAAATAAAATTCTTATTATTAAATGACAACATGGTTTAAAATATATATTTAAAATATCATGTACTAAAATATTTAATAACACTAAATATATATTGTAAATATTTTCTGGCAGAGTTAAATTAGATATTTATAAATTTAATAATAAAATTTATATTGTTAAACTAATTAAGTAGTTTAATCTTTTATAATTTTTAAATAAAAAAAAATCGTTTAATTTGGTAAATATAAAGAATATGGATATACCAAAAAATTTTTTCACATCGTAATCAAGGTATATTTTAATTTATTTATAAAATTTATGTAATTTGAATTAGAATAATATATGGATTTTGCTAGTGAAAATCAGCCATCAGTTTATTTGGTCTCAAAATACTCAAATGACGATGGTAATGATATTTACTTATAATATCTTTTATTTAAGTCTTTCAAAATACAAATAATACGATACCCTGTGAAAACAAATGAGTTAGCTATAAAATCATCAAATAATGATGGTATATTCTAAATTATTTTTAATTTCTCTTAATATTTTATAATTAGAAATACTATGTATTACAAAAGCATGAGAGCTATCAGTTGATTTTGCAGGAAAATTATCAAATGATGGTATGGTATTTTATAATATAAGTGAGTTCCATTATTTATTTGTAAGTTTTATATTATTTTGATTTAGTTATTAAAAATTTTGCAATAAGCTTTATTTAGTTATAACCCTTTTTTATGATAAAGTCCCTCATTTTGATTATTATTTCCAAAATGATCTTTAGATAGTACATTAAACAAAGAATTGGGCAGATTCTGAAAACTTGTATCTTAGATACAAACAAGTAATTTCCTTCATTGTCTTGTACTCTGGCTTTTAAATTTTGAGGAAGAAACTTGAATCTGTATCTGAGATACATTTTTATAAACTAGATTCTTTTCTTGTTATGCTGCTCAGGTTTGATCACTACAATTCATATTGAAATATATAATTTAAAATCTAAAAATCATATAGAAACACACTGTCCTCAAAAAGATGTTTCATTTTCCTTAAATTTTCATTTTAAAAATGATAATGAAAAATTGTTAGCTCTTGAAAATATTTGAATACCTGATAAATGCCATGAATTTCCATTGTCCTTGGATAAAAGAAATTTAACATTTCAAACATCATGGCTCAACAAATATAAGTGGCTTGCCTAGTCAGCAATGAAAATTGAGCTCTTTGTAAAATTCGTGACATTTATTCACCAAGATTGCTGGAAATGGGTTACATAAACTCAGCACATTGATAAGTCAAGTTTATAAAAGATGGAAAGATTCTCTTGAAAATTTTAACTATCATCAACAAAATAAGTATCATCTCAATTCTTATAAGATATCGGATGCCTTAAAAGCTATCTCCATGAATCAAAAGATATCATTATCTAATGTATTGAATAAAAAAAAAATTGTTACCAACAGAGCAAAATAATTATTGATGCAATCATTTGGTTAGGGAATCATGGCTTAGCTTGCAGAGCTCATAGAAAGTCTGAATTGTTGATTACACTTGAAACGCTAGAGGATATTAGAAAATCTTAGAGTTTTATTCTGATGATTTATCAGGATCGTATGATAAGTTACTTTGTGATGTCGAATTTTGGTATAAAAATCTTGACAGAATAGAGTACTCTTTGAGATCAAAAAATTTGCAAGCCTTTTCCATGTGTATTGTACTTTAGATTCCCTGCCTAATATCAAAACATTGCTTTTTATTGCTACCTTACCAATTGGTACCTGCACTAATGAAAGGTCTTTTTCAACTTTGAAAAGTTTAAAAGCCTTTTTAAGAAAAAGCACAGGTGAAAACCGTTTAAATGGAAATCCAGGAAAAAACCCGAAAATTTTTCCCTAATTTACTTAAGATCTAATAATATCGGTATATTTATATTTGGATTTATTAGGGTATAGACAAATTTAGTATTTTAGAAAAAAATATAATTTAATAATAAATTATATACATAAATGATTTATCAATAAAATAAACAGATCTTATTGCAAATTTTGTCAAATTTAGTCTATTTAATATAGTAATTAAGGATGGATATTGTATTTATTACCATAGCAAAAATTTTCGAAAATAAGTAATACATGGATTATTTTACTGGGATATTTTTTTCCCCAACATTAATTTGAACATCAGCATTTTTTCTTGTTTAAGCACTGCGATTTTGTTTTCGGTGTCCAACTACCTACACGCCATCGTTAAAGTTTGGTTTCATCGGCAGCCACCTCGCATTTCATTTTTTAATCAATACCCAGATTAATGGGTTTTATTCCCAACCAGATTAGAAAAACGAGGATTCGAACCTTCACATTGATTATTTATGAGCTATTCGTTGGATAGAGTGCTCTAATTCAAGTTTCTGGAGGAAATCGAGGCCCAATTTGATCTGTCTGGGATGGAGAATTGCTTCTTGTGACCTCCCTTGATACTCCATTGATGTAATTTTTATCGAAATATTCAAGAATATCCTTACCTTTGCTCGGAGTAACCGATCTAAAGAATGCCATTGCATTGCCCATATCACATAAAGGAACAAATGCTAAGCCGTCCATATGCCACAAAAGAAGCTTAGGGCTTCATCGGTTCTGTTGGCTTTCCAGATCTAGCTTTTGCGTAAGTATTTTGTGTTTTTTTGGAGTTTAATAGCTGTTAATGATTGTGACATTCGCTTATAAAATTATTTATCAATATTAATTATTGCTAGGTTATACTAAAAAAATTTAGTGAAAATTGAGAAGAAAAAAATTGAGAAAAGGTCAGAAAAATAAAGATTAACAATGACTTAAAGCAAAAATGGGAAGAAAATAATAAATTGAGAAAAAAATTTAAGAAAAATTGACAAGAAAAAAATTTTAAAAAATAACGATTTTCTTTTTTTTTAAATTTTTTTCCGGGGGTTTTTTTCCGGGGGGTTTTTCCGGGGTTTTTACCGGGATTTTTTTTCCAGGGGTTTTTTTCTATTACCGCTTAAATGGATTAGCCTTAAATATTTATAAGGAGATTATCTAGATAAATTTTGATTCTAGATGAATTGGCCAAATCTCAGAGAAAAGTAGACCTCTCAAATCATAAAATTGCAATATGATTATATGTTCTTAGTCATAAAATGTTTATATGCAATAATTATAATGAATTCTTAGTCATAATATTTATATTTATATATTATACTATTTTTAATAAAAGTATTGCATTTGCAATAAAAATTATTTATATTTTGATAATATACTCATTTGTATTAATTATAATTGTTAAATTATATTTTTTTTAAATACTGTATTAAAAAAGCTTGTATTTTATTGTAATTACATTTTTTTTAATATATAGTTATTTATATAAAATTTTGAAATTTATTTTATTGTATATTATCATTAAAATAAAAACAAAT